CCAAATGTGTAATTATAACAGGATTCTATGTACAGCATAGGTTTCTAATCCTAAACACATAAGGAAACTTTCCTCAAAGCTAGCATCCCTGGCCATCTGGATTTTGAAATGACTGCACCAATCAGCACAGGTCAGTCGCCCTCTCTGACTTTTTTATGTTCGGCGTCCTTTATATTTATTCTTTTGAGGCCGTTCCACTTTCGCATGGTGAATGATGTAAAACACACCCTGTGTTCATTAGGCACAGCGAGTTTAACATGGACAGTGGCACTCATCACGCTGCACGAGCCAGTGCAGTCCGAGCACAATACAAGCAGGAAGAGGCATGAAGCGCCCACTAGGAATTCCCTCTGCATGCAAACACAAGCATGAAGGGCCACCGTGCTGCCCTCCTAAGGTCCCACCACGGCACAGCATCGTCCTCCAACATGGGTTAAGCCTAGGAACCCCCCGGGTTTTCCTTCCCTGAATATTCCAATTTTCTTGCTTCTTGAAACATTTATTTATTAAATTATATCCCATTTTTTCCTTAAAAAGAAAAAGTGGTTCACAACGTTCTCCTGCTGCTGCTGACAATCTTATCCCAACAACAACAACCCAGGTAGGTAGGCTGGGCTGAGAGTCTGTGACTGGCCCAAAGTCACCCAGCTGGCTCCGTGGCTGAGAGGGGACTCGAACCCGGATCACCTGAGTCCCAGTCCCACGCTCTTAACCACTGCACCACATTGGCTCTTCTTAAGACTGACTTAGAGAGAGAGAGAGGGAGAGAGGTCAAGTTGAAAGATGCAAGGGTTAGGTACATGAATAAGCGTACAGCCCTCACTTTACAAAGGAAAGAGGAAAATGGGTGGCTGAGCTAGAAAGGAGAGGGAAGACTGAAGGCTGTGACAGCCATTGGGGACAGAAGCCAGGCCAGGCCACATGATGACGAGGCTTTCACTGGCCCCATGAGACACGAGGCTAAACATTCCCCTTCAGTGGCAAGAGGGGCAGGAAGAATAGCACGTTCCACTGCGAACGGGCACGTGGCTTGGGGAAAAGGGACCCTCTCGTTTCCTCACCATAGTCCAGGCACAGCTGTCATTTACCCTGGAAGGCGCACTTCCGCGTGCACAGACGGCAGGTTCCTCTGGGGCCGAAGGCCAGCCCTGGACCACCACGTTGCCCTTGGCTTTTGCGTCTCGGTGATCTGTCCCGCGTCACGGCTAGCGATCTGTCCGTGCGCCTACAATTCCAGGTTCTGCTCAGCTCCAGCAAGCTTTCGCTCACCCATCCAGTGACCCACCTCAGATACCCTTTGTTCTTACTGAAAATTGTTATTCCAATTTTCTTGCTTCTTGAAACATTTATTTATTAAATTATATCCCATTTTTTCCTTAAAAAGAAAACGTGGTTTACAACATTCTCCTGCTGCTGACAATCTTATCCCAACAACAACAACAACAACAACAACCCAGGTAGGTAGGTTGGGCTGAGAGTGTGTGAGTGGCCCAAAGTCACCCAGTTGGCTCCGTGGCTGAGCGGGGACTTGAACCCGGATCGCCTGAGTCCCAGTCCCACACTCTTAGGCACTTCACCACACTGCCTCTCTCTGTGGATTAAGATTGCTCAAGTGACAACCGAACAAAATAAATATAGCTCATAATGGATGAACAATGCCCTGTGTGATACTAGAAGTATTGCAGGTCAAGTCAAAACTCAAGCATTTTAATCCAGAGATGGCACCTCTGTTTTTAAGCACTGCCCATTATGCATCCGGCAGTGAAGCAGCACTGAGCTCCTGCTTTCCTAAGTGACAAAGAAGGGAGGTGTGTAGAGGGACCAGTGGCAAAAGCACAGCAAGCCTGCGTCTTCCCCTGAAACCCTGCCGCTTTTCGTGGCACAGGAGCAATCCCCAGGTCTAAATCAGACATTGTAATGAAGCCGTTAAATGATAGGTACTGGGATGGTTGCTAGTGGGATCAAGCCCTACCGATCATAAGCACAGGCATTTTGCAGGACATGTTTCAAATGACAGGAAGAAGAAATTTTTCCGCAGACTGTATCCATACCAAAGGAATCTGTTGAGAAATAAAGTTGGCACCAATCACTGAGCCCTTCCAGCACTGATTCAAGCTGAACATCACATCGAAAGGAAAACAGAAAGATGCTGAAGTCTGTAAGGTTACATAGTAAGCTATATTTAGATAACCCATCAACAGAAGCATTGCAGTTTTGCTTAATTCTGTGTCCCTGTCCAAACAAGCTTCACAAGACTGCAAGAGTTCTGCCAAGAAGGCCTTAATTCAGAGAACCAAAACTCAAGAAAGGCGGGTGGAGGCAGAGAGAACAGTGTGAGTGTATAGGGGGAAAACATCAGGAGGAAACCTCAGACTCCTTATCGCCAAAAGCAATAGTAACCTGCCTTTGTCTCCAGAGGGTAAATATCTGACTGGATAACTTTGTCTGAGTTATTCTTCTTGAAGAAAACAAAGCATGATCAGAACAGACATAATCCAAATCAAAGATATTTGTTTAACAACCAACTTTAAAAGGGCCAAAAAAACCCAGCAGAAATGCTTACATCTCCTCCATCACTCAAGGAGCACTGTTTTTGCCCAATTTTTCAGAAGGAATAGAGAAATGGCGTTTTTATGGATTCCTACCATTCCACAGATTAAATAACCATGAATCATCTGGGGATTTTAAAAAAATCATTTGTCACTGTAACTGTTCTATGTAGGTTCTGTGCTGGGACTTTTCAACTAGTTATTAAATGACATGGAATTAGAAGTGAGAGGTGCAGTCACCAGGTTTGCTAATGACATAAAGTAATTGCCATAAAAACAAAAAAGGATTTCAAAGCTTCCAGTAACTGGCATTTATGTAGCACTCCTGAAAGTTCAGTGTTTTAGATATACAATATTGCTGAACTAGACGCAAGTCCACAAAAGCTCAGGCCATAATAAATATGTTAGGCTAAGCACCACAAGACTTCTGAGCATTTTTCCCATTCTAAAAGGCCAAAGTATTTCTCAGAGGACTTAGTTGCTGGCTGGAGTTTTGATCTCACACCTTTTGCACTTGCACGGCCCGCCACTGAACTGTGGCCTCCACGAGTGTCTCCAAAACTGTAATTCAGTCCCCAGGTTTAAAGAGGTTCTGTATCCCTGCTCTCAGGGGAAGCTGAAGAGCCGGGGGAGACTATGGAAGTCCACGGAGTGAATTTGCGGCAGATGAGAAATCTGGATGAGGACATTCCTCTTTGCAGTTCAGTCTCTTGGGCTGCTACGCTGAACCCATTACACTGAGCAGACGAACATGCTTAGGACTGTATCCCAGGCATGAAGCTGAGAACAGCTGTAGTGCAGGGGTCCAGAGGGTACTGGGCTGGTGTGACCCAAGCTCAAAGCCCCACTTAGCCAAAAAGCTGCACAGAGGCTATCGCTTTCTGTCTGGCCTATCTCGTGGGCAAGGATAATAAGGAGCAGGTGACCTGCGTGTGCTGCCCCAAGCCCTTTGAGGAACAAAGTCATAAATACACCTATATCCCAGCCCCCGGGAACTCCTTTCCTCGCCAGAGTTCATTAACTCTTGGCAGTGAGCCACCATTCTATAGTGAGGAATTAGCCTTGCTCACCGAAGCTCCAGGCTCAACACCAAGCTCCTCCAGGTAGGGCTTGGGAAGGCCCCCAGAGAGTCTCCATTGGTCAGGCCAGACTGAGCTCAATGGGCCAGTGATGAAGTTTGATCCAAGACAGCTCTCTAGGCTCCTGTGACTACTCCCTCCCCCTCTTCTGGAGACTCATCTCCCTCCCACCCCAAATTTTCCTAGCCAGATGAAGTGACCCAATTCCACACAGAAAAACATCAACAGTGGGAGACCTTCCATCAACCCACCACCACTACCAGAGAAAGCTACAACCAAATCTCTCAACAGGGTCCACTGGCCCTTTACTACAAATCAGATCGCATACACTTAAACAGAGCTTTTAATCCAGCATAACCGTATACACATACACAAACACAACTTTGTGTATCTAAATCTTTTACCCAGAAATTCTACAGCAAGTAACTCTCTGTCCTCGCTTAGACACACACAACCCTTCCTCACGAGGACTCATCAGCCCTTACCTATGCAAAATAGAGAACACTGGTGCAACATAGGCCACCTAACCCCAGGGAGATATGTTTGGGCAAAAACACATGTGATATAGAATTTAATCTACCCTTCCAGCGGTGCTGGACTACTCTTTCCATAATTCACAGCCAGCATAGCCACTTTCCAGGGACACGGCAGTCCAACAGGTCTGGCAGGTAACAGGGAGGTGGGAATAAGCTGATTTATTCCTCCGTGACCCTCTTCTCTTCTGTTTCTACCACACAGGCTGCTATGTTTCCCTTTTCCATCTTAAAATGCCAAGGAAGACCCATATGTAACTTAAACCCCTTCTTACCCTCACATCCCACAGTGGGAGACCCTCCTCTCTCTAGCTGGGTTCAGACATGACAAGAACACACACTCAGGGCCTGCGTATGAGTTAAGCGGAGGTTAGCGATGAACGGTGAGTTGCTGTGGAAATGTGGGCACCTCCAACCATTCATGAAGCAGACCCCTTGTGTGGCAGACTGCGGGCTGTTCCTTAACTCACGGGCTTCGATGACAACCCGCACTCACCCCATGCTCGACCCTTGAGCGTGGGTATCACGCACTTGCCGATGGCCGCAACCGATACTTGGTCAAGCACAGACAACCACTCAGGGGAACCTCTGGTTGGCTGCTACCTGCAAACTGCGGGCTGCCTGTGGTTCACAAGCCACGGCTTGCCATCTCAGCTGAGTTCGGACATACCCAGCTCCGCAACAACCCGCGCTCAGCCCACGAGGACGAGCTCCCGCGTCGCCCAAACCCAGCGCCCCGCACCCCTCCCTCCCCGGGAGCCATTAACCCCTTGCAACCCGCCGCTCCCCTCCTGCACCGCCCCCCGCCCCCCGGGGAGCGCGGAGGCCGCAGCACCCACCTGCTGAGAGGGCAGCTCCACGTGCAGGGCGCGGGCGGCGGGGCCCGGCGGGGGCAGCACGGCGGCGCTCTGGCTCATCGCGGCGGGGCCGGGGGCAGCAGCGGCCTGGGCGCCTGCGCATTGAGCCCGCTCGCTCAGTCTCCCCGCAGCCGCCGGGCACCGAGGGGTTAACAGCACCGGCGGCGGGCGGCCGGGCGGGTGCCGGAGCCCTCGTCTTCACGACCGCCGCCGCAACGAGCCAGGCCGGGCACACGCGCGTCCCCTCACGAAGCCATATTATTACCCACACAGCGGGGCAAGAAGGGAAAAGGAGAATGAGCGACGGGAGACGCCGCCCGCTGATTGGCTCCGCAGGGGGGAAGGGCGGGCTCCGGCTTGCGAAGCCGCGTTCTCATTGGCCGATCTGCACGTCGATCCAACGTAACGTCCCGTCTTCTGGGGTAGCTGATTTTTCTGTCTGTGGGGAGGGAAAATCACCGCCTCTGTCAAAAGCCCTGGCGCCTCATTGGCTGGTGCTCCTCCTAGAGGGGCCGGACAGAAACCCCGAAAAGCCCTCAGCGATTGGACTGGGCTTTATTGTGATAGACAGTTAAGGCAGCGGTTTGTTTTGCCGAGCATGGGGGCGGGGAGTGGCTTTTTTCAAACGAGGTGTGTCACGTGGTATATGTTTTTTCACGTGATTTCAGTAGAGCGGGAGGCTGGGAGGAGGCCTTACCATAGTAACCAAAGAGGGGGAGTTTATCACCATAGTAACAGGATGAGGCAGGCCTTACCCCAAGTCTTAGGCACTCCACTACCCACAATGCATTGCGGGGGACCAAAAAAATATTTATTGACTTACAATAAAATGGGGTGTGAATTATTGGCTTTATGGACTATCATTTTAAATATGCATAATTATTATAATTATTATATGCATAATTTAGTTTTAGTTGCAATCCAAGCCATAAAAGAGCCTACTAAACTTGCAAAAATACCTTTACCCCACCTTTCAGCCCAGCAACAATAAAGTGAACACACTTTTGAATGAACATAAAACACATGCCACAACTTAAGGTCTTTAAAGCAGTGATCAACTCTGCTGTAAGCCTGCAAAGCGATGGTCACCACATTAAGCACATGAATCACGAAGATTTTCCCTGCACATAGAAAGTGTTGGGAAATTTAGATAAATCCTGGTAAAAAAAGGATGCATATATGTGTCTTTGTTATAAAATCAAACCTGCACCCCTTTCTCAGCACCAGAATTCCAAGCCAAGTTACTGTTTAGCATTGTTGTTACTTTAAGGAACTGGAACTCTCAGCTTGCCTGAGAGTGGCTATTCTTGTGCTAACAGCTGCAAAACTGATAGGCTGCCCAGAAAAAAAAAAATTAGCAGCATTGCAACCACCCTAATTTGCATGATCAATTTCACAGGCAATGACTCCTGATATATCAATCTCCTGTAATCAATGGTGTTGTATTGAGCCCCCTCTGCAGATCTCTCACATTCTTTTGACTGTGTTCCCCTTATTCTGTCATCAGCTGCCCGGCTGCTATGACATGTGACTCAGGACCTATAAAACACTCTGCATATGTTCTGGATGCCTGTAGTCGGTCTGGCCTCTACCCAACAGCATTGTTGTAAATATTGTTCTCTGCAGAGGGTGCTTGAGTGATCTTTCAATAAACTGCTGAGGTTCAAGGCAAAAGGGATCCTCCCTCCCGAATCCATTTATTCACTCTCGCGGCTGCTATCGAGACGCCCCCAACAAAAGCTAGCATGCCCGAGCTGAACTCTTTCTCCCTGACATTCTTGTTTTCTGTGTACATGGCATTTTTATTTTGTTAATTATTATTTCATTTCTATACCACCCTATAACTGAAGCTTTCTGGCCAGTTTTCAGCCATCGTTTACTTTTGATAAATGGTAAGTGATTCCTCCTCCCAACCACCTTTGTGCACGTGCTCACTCAGGGAAGGCCTGGATAAAGAGATGGCCATTCAGCTGGCACCCAGAGTGGGTGCGGGAAGGCACTGGATAAGGTGAGCACCTGCTTCCAGGTAGCTGCAAGAGGCCAATGTTCAGGTGGGAATTTTGTTGTTGTTAGTCGCGAAGTCATGTCCAACCAATCTCGACCCCATGGACAACACCCCTCCAGGCCTTCCTGTCCTCCACCGTCCCCGGAGTCCACCCAAGCTCACACCAACTGCTCCAGCCACCTCATCCTCTGCCGTCCCCTCCTTCTTTTGCCATCTATTCTTCCCAGCATCAGGCTCTTCTCCAGGGAGTCCTTCCTTCTCATCAGGTGGCCAAAGTAAATGAGCTTCATCTTCAGGATCTGGCCTTCTAAAGAGCAGTCATTGTTGATCTCCTCTAGGACTGACCACTTTGATCGCCTTGCGGTCCAAGGGACTCGCAGGAGTCTCCTCCAGCACCACAATTCAAAGGCCTCAATCCTTCGGCGCTCAGCCTTCCTTATGGTCCAGCTTTCACAGCCATGCATTGCAACTGGGAAAACCATACAGCCAGTAAATTAGCCATTTGCACCCGTTGTGCACATGACTCTGCCTAATGGTAGGGCTGGCCCTGGATCCTTGTTGTCCAATCTCTCTCCCATTTCTCCCTGGGCTGGCTTCCAATAGGGGATTTCCACACCCGGAGGTCCGCATGCAAAGGTTACAGCAGCAACTCTACCGGTGGATGTGGGAACGCTCACTGCATCGCACCATGTCCATCTCTCAAGGGAGGATGACAACCATCTGCCATTCAACCCTCGCCCCCCCCCCCCCGTATTGTTGCGTGTGCTTGAGACATGCCGCTTGGCTGGGCTGCCATGGCACACCAGAATGTCCCCCTGTGAGGAGGGACACCCCCATCGGGCCTCTGCGAAGGAATTTGCCACAGCAGGGAAGCACCGCAGGGCTTTCCAGAAAGACCACCGGTCCCATTCCACACTCCGAATGGTGTGCCAGGCCTTCCCCAGCAGGAGAAGGCCCAGAGCAATGCTCTGTAGCACCTGGTCTGAGAACCTCCTGTCTGTACATGGTCAGTCAAAACGACCCATGATTCAACAACAACCCATATTTAGCCTGCACTCTGGGTTGTTGTGACCTACAACCAGGTCATCGTCTCTTTTCTTCTCTGCCCACAATGGGTTTCTCTGCCCCTGTTTGGCTGGAGGCTGTCAGCCATTTGGCAGGGTATTGCATTCCAAAAATCCAACATGGCTTCAGTAATGCTAAGCCCTGTCTCAGTAACATTTTAGAGTTCTGGAGAGAATCAGTAAATCTGTGGACAGGGTGATCCAGTGAGCGTTGCTTACTTGGTCTTCCAAAGGGCTTTTGACAGAGTCCCTCACCAAAGAGACCCATCCAAGCTTAGCCATCATGGCATAAGGGGCAGCCGGGGGCCGGGGGAGGGGGAGGAATCCTCTTATGAAGCAGTAACTGGTTAAAGAACAGAGAGTGAAAGAATTTGTCCATCTCCCAACGGAGGGAAGTCAGTGAGGGGGGTCCCGGATTGGGACCAGTGCCCTTCATCCTATTCATAAATGATCTGGAATTAGGAATGATTCGGAAAATGGCCAGCCTGTTGAAGACCCCTAGTGAGTTAAGGTGGTTAAAGGGATGGTGTGAACTGCAAAAGGATCTCTCCAAGCTTGGAAAACAGGCATCAAAAGGGTAAACACTGATCATTGTAAGCTGGCATAAAGTGCCACATACGGATGCAAAAATGAACCCAGCTCCAGGTATAAGCTGATGTGCTGGACTGTCCAAGAAAGAGATCTTGGTGTTGTGGTGGACAACCTGATCGAAATGTGGGCCCAGTGCACAGGCTGATGAGCAACAAGCAATTTCTGTGGTAGACATAATTAGGAAAGGTGCTGGAAATAAAGCTGCCAAGATCATTCTCCCCTTTTACGAACCTGTAGTGTGACCACACTTAGATTACTGCTTACAGTTCTGATCCCCACACCTAAAAGGGTGTCAAACTGAGTTGTAGAACTGTAACAAATGTAGAAAAGATGGCAACTCAGAGAGCAATCTAGTGGCCCAGGGGCCTCCCGTGGCTGGAGTGAGGCACGGTGGCGGCTGTGGAGACAAAAGAACCTGGGATGCAGATAGGAAATAGTGTGGGGAGATGCCCACAGCCTCCCCTCCTCCCTGACCCCAGCACACCCCCATTACCCTCTCCCCAAAACAAATCGACATTGTTGTAGGGTTGTTGCCCAAACACTGAGGACCTTGGTGCTGGGCCTCCAAAGAATTCTTTGAGACACACTCACACACAACGATATTGGGGGGCCCATAAGACTGCCCCATAAATGGATCAAGGGGTTGGAATGGCTCCCCAACAAGGAGAGCTCACAACAAGTGGGTTTTTCTGGCTTATGAAAATGTTGCATGTGCAAAGCCAGAAAAGAGTTGCGCAGAATTATGCACAGGGTGGAGAAAGTGGATACAGAGGCATATTTCTCCGTCTCTTGTAATACTAGAACCCAAAGGGTTCCAAGGAGGCTGACGGGTGGGAAATTCAGGACAGATCCAAGGATGGGTTTCTTCACACAGCGCGGAGTTCAGCTATGGAATTCACTGCCACAAGATGCAGTAATAGCCACCCATCCGGACCTCTTTAAAGGAGAGCCAGTGTGGTGTCATGGTTAAGAGCGTGGGAAGGGGACTCAGAGGATCTGGGTTCTGGTCCCCACTTAGCCATGGAGCCCACTGGGTGACTTTATTTATAGATAGATAGATAGATAGATAGATAGATAGATAGATAGATAGATAGAGAGCCAGTGCGGTGTAGTGGTTAAGAGCATGGGACTGGGACTCAGGCGATCCGGGTTCGAGTCCCCGCTCGGCCATGGAGCCAACTGGGTGACTTTGGGCCAGTGATGGACTCTCAGTCTAACCTACCTCACAGGGTTGTTGTTGTGGGGAGAAGATGGAGGAGGAGAATGAGGTAAGCTGCCTTGAGCCCTTTGTAGGGACAAGGCAGGATATAAATCAATCAATCAATCAATAAAAAGGGAATGGAGGAGAAGGCTATCCATGGCTACTAGTCCTCATGGCCATATGCCCCCTCCAGAATCAGGGGCAGTGAGCCTATGGGCCCCAGTCGCTGAGGAACGTGGGTTGCTGCATCCACGGCGTGCTTGTCGTTTTCACTCTGGGACATCTGGTTGCCCATGGAGCAAAGAGGAAGCCGGACCAGACGGACCCTTGGGCTGTTCCTGCACAGCTCTTCTTACATTCCCAAAGCTGGGAAGGGATGCCCCGCCATCAGAAGCCC